CTAAGTAATTCACCCATTGTGAGATAGCAAGTCACTGGGCAAGCCAACCGCAGAACCCTGAAGCCCCCCCTAAGGTCAAATTTATAAGCCAAGCATCCACACTGGCAACATCATTATTTCAGAATAAAGGGACACAATTTAAAATCTGTACTCCTGCGTTTCTCAGTGAATAATGCTAATTTATTTCAAAATAATGTTAGTATGGATGCTCTGGTGCTGCTATTTTGAAATAACTACTCCTCAGAGTAACGTGAACTAATTACTCCCCGGTGCTTCCTGGGGTTGTAAGTGTTGCATAAAAAAGCCTCCGCCTGAGCTTACTTAATTTATACACATGCATATTCTGAAACTATACTAAACTGTAAGGGCTAAGGTATGAAACTGTAACTCATTGTGATCTTTGTCAAACTTTGTAATCTTTGTAACTCTCAGAAATTTACTGTAAGCTGCAACTTTGTAATCGTTTGTAACTCTCAGATACCTTGCTTGTAACTTGCTCTAAGCTGCATTCTCCAGTGAGAGTGTGTTTGTGTTTGAAGAAGACTGGGAACAATGGAGCACATGGTGATGAGTCATCACAGACTGCTGCTTTTGCTGGATAAAGGGAAGTCTGGGCATGCTCCCTGATGACTAGGTGAATAAGTCACAAGAGCTATTCAGACACTATATAAAGAGAAGGAGTGCATGTGAGACTCTCTCTTTCTTCCCCTGCTCCTGAGAAACTCCTCTCCACAGCCAGTGTCTCTCCTCCTAACCAGCTTCTCCAAGCCATGATGAGCAAACACACCCTCCAGAATCTATATGCTTTGGCTCCTTCTGTAACCCATATGCCTGTGTGAGTGCTTGAGGTCAGGAATGAATGTGTGTGAATGAGTGAATGAATGGAGGGGTGTGTGTGCTTGTGTGTGTGAGAGAGATCTCTATCTTCTTTAGTTTAAGCCTTGGGTGGCTGCTCTTGCCTCTTTAGTTTTACCTAGTGGCAATAAACCCATGCTAGTGTAACCCTGGGTGGTCTCCAGTGAGGATCTTTTTAGGGCAACATTAACTTGAGGTAGTACATCCACACTAACAGAGCCTGCCTTGGACTAATTGTGATGCTTCCCTGTAGTGGGGACATGCTATTTCGATTTTGTAAAATTGGGAGTTAAGTCAAATTTAGTTATTTTGAAATAGTTTCCTAGTGTAATGTTGCCACAGTGCCCTACTGTTAGCACTGAATCGCTTGTCCTCTGTCATATTTGGGCATAATTCTCTGAAAAGTCCACAATGATGACTAATTATTGTTTCTTATATTTTTCTTTTACAAGAATTTTCATTTGTTGTACTTAATACAAATAAAACAAATAATAGACCCGATGATAATATAGTTCTATCAATGAGCCATCACACAAATGCCTCTCAATAAAATCAATGACATTTTTAGGATATTCCCAATTCAGGGCTTTCAATGCTTCATTTCATGGGTAAACTCCCCAGTGTAAGCTTCTTCAAATCTAACACTGATGTACTTCTGTATTCATTAACCCAGTCCATAACTATCCTCTTTACAAATAATTTGTAATCAGAGCACATGTGAACAGACAGGTGACAGTAGGAGTCAAGCTGAGGTCTTGCATCCAAGACATTAATGAAATATGATATAACCCTCAAGCCCTTTCTGACAATTTGGGGACTCAATTTACCATTTATACAATCAAGTTTAATACTGTAATTTCACTGTATGTCACATGACAAACTCTATTTTCAAAGTGGGGCTTGACTGCCTTCCAATTTTTTTTTACTTTCACACGCAACTGAAAATCCAATGAGTAACAATACAAATTTAGCAATGGAAGGATGTCAAAATGTGATGATCATCAACTTACATAGAAGCTGCCTTTGACAAAGAGCTGGTTACTTTTCAGAACGTATTCAAGTGGTCTGGAAATCCAGGCAGTGATTTCCAGGCTGTGGGAAACTGATCATGTGATGAGACTGATCAGAGAGAGTCACCTGACAAAGGGGACTGGAGATTTTAAAACTGCAGGCCAGAAATATGTGATGCAACATATAGTTAAGAATGCATATGTTGTCCATATACAGTGGCTTTATAGCTGTGTCATTCCCAAGATATTAGTGAGACAAGGTGGACTGGATAGTATCCTGGGTTAAATTGGATCAACTTCTGTTGGTAATAGATCCAAGCTTTAACCACATTAATTCTCACTCAGTTTCTTTCCCCCTCTTCCACCAAATACCGTCTTCAGATATTTTAGTTGTGAAGGTCCAGTAAGTCTCTACTGAGTACATACATTATAAGCCACCGAAAAATTGCTGTTTGTAAGCCCTATTTAGTAAGATTTCATGTGGAGATGATAAAGGCACATTCCTATTGCCTACTTGGCTACCTCCTGCCAAATTTCAACTCTTTGCTCCAAAGCATGGAGGTGCTACATTTTCTCAAAGGTGATCAGAATTTTAACAAGGGTAACAATATATTTTTCTCTAGCCTCAGTTTCAGAAACAGTTAAATATTTTGTCTGAAATTAAATAAGCCTGAAAGACACCTGGATTGGAAAATGTCAACTCACACAGAAATGTTGGTAAAATTATAAGCTACTGAATACAGGCTGCTATAATGGGTAATTTTGGGCAGCCACCCCACATACAATATTGAAATATACTACTGGGAATCTCAATGTTGTTCAATCAAAGATTAAAGTGTCTCATATTATAAGATTACATCACTTGATATTCTAAAAAGTGGTTTGCAATGTTACATTTTACACTATGAATAACAAATTAGCGAAAGCGACCTCATTCGACTAGTCCATATTGGAAAAGTCAAGATCAAGGCTGAAACTCCTTTAGGTTTAGACAGTGCACTATTTATGCAGCTGCTCTGTATTAAGAATTATCATTGACATCAATTAGACCACAATTGCAGGATTAGGCCCTCAAGAATTAGCTTCTGCCTTCACAGTTGGTTAATTAGCTGGAAAAAAAACAGATACCTCCAAAACAATACATTAATAAATGGACTGGAAATTGATTATACATCAAAATTTTCACTGTGATAGAATATTGGAAAATATTAGTATATGTGTGTTCAAGAGACTGAGTTAATATTTATACTGTTATGAAAAAGATCCTATACAAATTTTCCTCATTAACATAGTCCACTACCCTCAACATATGCATTGCCCCTATGGCCTAAACATAATCCTCCTCTATGTTATTGGACAGGTGACAATTAATGTTCAAATCTCTATAGACATAACTCTTAAATATGAGCCTCTCTCCTTAATGAAGTAAAATCTCTTTCATGTGTATACTCTGTATAGTTACTTCTTTTAAAGTAATATTTAATCTGATGCACTAGCTGAAAATGAAGACTGACTAAAATATAGGTCAGTTTCTAAACCCTATTATTATTATTATGCAAAAAGAGTATGTCACCTGATACATTTGTTAATAACAACTCTCAGCTTACGGGGTCAGGCTATAGTTTGCTTTGTTAACTGACATTTTTTAAAAACCTCACACTGGAAATATATTGGTATAAAGTGAGCTTTGCAGTAGGCAGAGAAGGATGAAACAACATGGGAAGCAATGTTACTTATGTGTCCTTAATCCTGCACTGAATAAGAGCTTCAGTGCAGCAGTTATTTTATGTGCTGGTGATTTCATGTGGGATAAATTGGCTGCTGAATCAGCATTTTCTATAACAGAACTATTTTGTATTCTTTTTGCCATAGCAGTTTAAGCTAAACAAAGTTCTATTTAACACTGCCACGTCCAGACTGATCGCAGATTTTAGCACTATTGATCTATAGTCTAGTCTTTAAAAAAAAAGGATAGAACAGGAATATAATCCTATATTAAAGCAATTTTGTTTCTATGAATTATGTTTTGTTTTAAAATACCCCAGCTACTCCTGAAAATAATCATTGGTTTCAAGTCATGGGAAAAAATGGTTACCTTGTGTAACTGTTGTTCTTTGAGATGTGTTGCTCATGTCCGTTGCAAAAATCTTGTGTATGGATGGAATGTCTTACCAGTACCTGTAGAGCCAGCTGTGGGGCTCTCTAGAGCACCTAGTCGCTCTGTTCCGCTAAAAAGCCCCAATCACCATTTTTGCAATCGGGGCTTTTTTGCGGAAAACAAGTCTGAGCTGTCTACACTGGCTCTTTTGCGCAAAAGCTTTGCGCAAAAGGGACTTTTGCCTGAACGGGAGGGCTGTGTCTAGACTGGTAAGCTCTACACTGGCTGCTTGAATTTCCGCAAGAACACTGAATTTCCTACTGTCTGAAATCAGTGTTTCTTGCGGAAATACTATGCTGCTCCCGTCCGGGCCAATCTAGACACTCTTTTCCGAAAATGCTTTTAACGGAAAACTTTTCTGTTAAAAGCATTTCCGGAAAATCATGCCAGTCTAGACGCAGCCATACAGTGATGAATCCAAGCGCCACCAGACCATGCCCTCTCAGTTCCTTCTTGCTGACAAATCCGACAGAGGGGCACGAAGGTATATAATGGAATGGATACAACAACACATCTTAAAAAACAGTTATGAAAGCTAGGCAACCATTTATGCCAGGGGTGGGCAAGATAGGGCTTGGGGGTCGACTCCATCCTGGGAAGCCGTTTGATCTGGCCCATGGCCACTCTACGGTTCCCTCGCCTCCAAGCCAATCGAAACCTGGGGACTGGGGATCATGCGAAATCTCCTCCTACCACTAGAGGATGTGGTGCCGAGAGGAAACCACCAGCTGTTCAACAGAGTTGGTGGTTCTGTCTAGGCACCATGCACCCCGGCAAGGCAGGTGTGAGAGACTTTGCATGCTCCCCCCTTCCCCAGGCCCTGACTGGCAATAACGCTAGCCAGTCATAATGTGGATTTACTTCCTACAATTTCTCAACTTTGATCAAAATTTTTAGATGAAGAGTACAAATTCCAGATTTTATAGACAATCAGACAAGTCTTAAAAGGAATACAAATTTTATTGAAGCTAATATTTTAAAAAATGTATATAGTACATAGATTGAAATAAAGATATTCTGTATGTCTGGATGTTATGTTTGAATTATCTGCAAATAAAAGTTTTGTTTAAGCGTGATACGATACATATTGGCTTAAAGCCTACTGATGGCTGTCTTAATCCTCTTCACATCAACATTACATGATTATAAGGCCAAAAAATAGGGAAAATATATACACAAAAACACAATGTATGGTTAAAAACATTTAATTCAAGTCCTTATAAAGATTAATAAATTAGAGATTTTTTTACTTTTTAAACAATTGTTAAAGCTAGTTCTTTAGCTTTACAACATTTTGGTGGTACATACCACAAGGTAACTTGCCAGTAAAACCAAAATTCACACTTAATTTGCATAAATATTAAAAATTTGAAAAATGAGGTGAGATTCACCATTGGGCAGAGATCTTTCATAATATGGTGCACAGGGCCATAATCAGTTTTACTCCAAATGCATACTATTGCATTTACTTATGCTTGAAATTAACAGAAATTGCTTTACTGAATTCAATAGCAATAAAAACCTGCAATGATCTTTTTCTTCCATCTTTGTTATAGAAAGAAGCATTTGTTCTGGCCCTGAGCTTGGACATCCAGACTTAACCAAAACACATAGGAAAAACAAAGTTATTTTCACAAATCTCCTTCTGAATCATTATCCTCAGTCTTTTGAGGTAGTCTCCTAATGGCAATTATTAAATCAATAGTGAGAAGTTTTGTAACACAATGAAGAACAGAAGCTACTAACTGATATTTACAATACACTGATTCTAGACCTTGTTGATTCATGTGCAGCTGATTATTAATTTGAAGTGCACTAGTGGCTTTGAAATAGACCTGAGTAAAACTGTTCTTTTTTGTTGTCCTATGAAGGATTTTTGGAATGCTCAGCAATGCATCAGCAATTACAGTAGAAACAACAGTTATTTTTGGCTGTAGGCACTTTTTTGCATAGGAATGGAGATAATAATGTAACAGCATCTCAAAGTTGCCTCCCACTGGCAAAACTGATCCTGCCTGTATGACTGAACTGGTGTAACTTTGGATTGTGTGGTTATAACTCTTCTCATACTTAAATGGAATTATAGGATTGCCTGGATTCCAATAGTCCTTAGTAGTATTTAGATGTTTGGACACAACGGATGTACTAGTGTTTTCTATTGCTGTCATAGCATCATTACAAATCCTGTGGTTATTGACAACTGGCTCACTCTTATTCTTTATGCCCATTTCACTTGGATACTTGAATTTCTGCAACTCTCTTAAAGTATGACCTCTATCAATGAGAGCTGAAAACATAAAATCGTTCTTTAATTTTACAATAGGCATGACTAGGTTTGAGGATTTTTGCAAATATGTTTGACTACATGATGGATTTTCATCTACCCATGAATAAGAGTCTACAAACTGTTTTTCTGTTTCAGCCGGAAATGTTTTCAGTTGTTGGTTGTTGATCTTTTCCCCGTTACAAGAATTATTCTCCATTTTGAGTTTCTGTTGAGATGAATATTGCAAACTACAGTATACAGCTTCTGAAGTATTATTTGGGTTTTCGGGTTGTGCAGCACATTTGTCACTCAAGTCAACTGCTTTAAATAGTTGCTGTAACATTTTAAATGCTCCTTGAAAAGCAGAGGCATGCTGCTCAGTGACGCCATGCACTGGTCCACAAAAGATCACACAGTGTGGCTGAAAGGCACATGTCCTTGTCAAGCCAAGATGAACATATCTCTTGGAGCCAAGTACAATAGGACGACAAAATTTTGCTACCATGGTTTCAGTGATCTCACAACGTACATTGTCCCGAGTAGGTACAAACGGTGAGATACCTGTGGTTTTGCAGAGAAGAGAGATTTCTTCTGACGATAAACACTCAACAACAGATATACCACTTATTTTTGCATAGTAAATAACTATTTCTTGTTGTTTCACACTTGACAATAATACTTTTATATTGTTGCTCTGCAAGTGTTTCATTATAGTTTCTGTTCTTTTTGTAAACCAGACTTGGGAAGCCTGATACTGAACTTCTGCATTTACAACAAACTCTAAATCAGAGGCAGAAAGATCAGAGTGGATGGATTCTGTTACAATTAACATTCTTATGTCACCATCTGCTGGACAGTACACACCAAAATCTCTGTGAAGAACAAGTCCTTCTAAGATCCTGGAATTTGAAACAGGAAGACCTGGTACAGCAAAATGTAATTCTACAAAATAGTCATTCACCAAATTCAGCATTTCATTTCTACCATTTTTAAAATGCACACATCTGTAATAGAAATCACAACTCAATTGGGAAAGAAGCTTCTGATGACTATTTCCTATTCTTCCACAAAAGTAAGCTTCTAATATTGACTCCATCGTGTGCCTGCTTATCTCTCCTTCCAAACTAGAGAAAGCAGAGAAAAAATGTTTTCTTAGGTCTTCTGCTGTGATCTGGTCCAATATGTGAGTCTGAAATGTCATAAGAGATTGAGATATTTGTTTCAGGCAATGATGTTTTTGATATCGCCCTCTCCTTTGAATAGCCTCACAAAAAGGAGAACCTTCTCTTTTATCAAGAATTTCCTGAAGTCCTCTGAGTAATTTGGACAATAGGATGATGAATGTTTTAGCACCATCTCCAGTCATGTGGTGGTGCAGGGAGACACAAGCTACCATCATTCTGGTAGGAAAAGGAAAAACAAAGTACATTAAGCCTGGCTTTAACCAACACATTGTAATCAATGGTTTCAATTTATTAACAGAAGTGTTTCAATTATTCCCTTTTCCACAGATAATATGAGTCAGTGATGACAGGTTCTTCCTACATGTCCTTTTAACAAATGGAAAGATCACCCTGAGCTTGAAAGATATGCCTGACACAGAGGCAGAAAAAAGGCAGGCAGGTATCAAGAGACAGCCAAAGGCCACAGCATCCTAGTGAGAAGCCCAAACTCCTCCCAGTCCCCAGGTGCTGCAAACGGCAAGGGCTCTCCTGAAAGGAGTGGGGAAAAGTGATAGAGATGCAGCCATGTTAGTCTGTTGTAGCTGAAACAAGACAGGACAATGCAGCACTTTAAAGACTAACAAGATGGTTTATTAGGTGATGAGCTTTCCTGGGCCAGTTTGTCGCTGCATGAGCATCCAGCTCAAGGCACAAAGGATGAAGCTGGGTGCGTGTAAAGGGTGTAACTAAGCCGCTGCCCAAGGGGAGCAGCTGCCCCGCGTGTCATTGACGTGTGTTGTAGCTGAAACAAGACAGGACAATGCAGCACTTTAAAGACTAACAAGATGGTTTATTAGGTGATGAGCTTTCCTGGGCCAGTTTGTCGCTGCATGAGCATCCAGCTCAAGGCACAAAGGATGAAGCTGGGTGCGTGTAAAGGGTGTAACTAAGCCGCTGCCCAAGGGGAGCAGCTGCCCCGCGTGTCATTGACGTGTCCTCTCGCGGCTGCTGCGTGTGGGGAGGAGTCACCCCCGCTCTGCCCCCGGAGCTGGGGGGGGAGCCCCCGAGCATCAGGGGCCAGTTGCGGCCCGGCCACCCTGGATCCCCGCCCCCCTCACGCCGCCCGTGGGGCGCTTTGCAGCCACCGCGGCTGGAACACGGGGGGGGGGGGGGGGGGCG